TGTAACTATCTGTTAATGACAAAAAACATCATTGCCGCTGTGCCTTTTCATCAAAAAATTGTAGAAGAGAACTTTTTTGATATCAAAAATTTTCGCAATTTGAAGCAAAGATCGTAATTTTTCTTTTTGAATGCTCACAATTCTTGCTGAACAATTTCAAAATAGTGCTTAATAACGAAGTTGAAATTCCATCTTCAACTGCTAATATCTTCTAGAAATTTTCGAAAAAAAAATTTCAATATTTTTCTCGTACTACCCCAGGGAGCCTCTACCACCCCTTAAAAGGAATGACGCCAATTTTGAATCACCCTGTATATGAAGTTATAAGACTGTTATCATCAAACAAATGCCTTAAGTGTCATTTTTATCGAAACAAGGGTGATACTATTGGTTCTGCATCAGAATAAATTCCATAAATGGTCGTAAAGATTAATTCAATACATTGGTTATGAATTTTATTTCTGACGGAATGGTAATTATCTCGGGCGCGAGTTAGAGCAAAGGCTAATATTTTGCGGCTAGCAAGTAAGACTTTGAACGCTTAATGGATAACACAAAATTAGGCACACTCAAATTCAACTGATGTATTTAGATGTATAAGAAAACGTAATTAACAATTTTATAACGGAAGAACGATTACGGAATAACGATTCGAATGAACAAAAAATTAGAGTGATTCTAAAAGTTAAGTCTTCAGTAAATCTAATTTAGCAAATAATTCAATGTGTTTGACTAATAACAATTTATGGCATTATAAAAGGAAATAAATTTGAGCAGGGTGTAACTCTCGGATATTTCTGGTAACACCCTTATCCTATGGATATCTTAACTTCAATCAAGCCTAGATGGTGAAGGGCGAAAGACCCTGAGGGGGACGAGCTGGAGTGATCACTTCATAAATAAACTAATATTTTAATAAAAAACTAAAATTTTAAATCCATGATAAAAAAACAAAACGCTTTTGCTTGACAACAACTTGAAAACGCACACCGATGTCCAAAACAAATTCAAAGGTTTACAGCAAAATATTTGCACGTAACACATTGTCAGGTGGAAAACTGTGTAAAACAAGATGTATTTCAGGGGCACGGTTTATTTTACAACATCAGAAGCGGTTTCTGTCAAAATAACGGCAAATTCGATCTTTGTTTGAATAAAATACATTTAAGGTCTTACATTTTCTAATAATTTATAACGAAGTGCAAGTGGACACTTGGATGTATTTCAGAAGTGTTTTCAGGAAACGATGGACATGTATTTGTGGTTAATGTGAAAACCGCACAAGGAATTTACGAACGAGCTGTCTCAGAAATTTGCCCTCTTCCATTGGCAGTACTAGACGATCAACAGTTCTGAACAGCCGTTCAAGGGGGGAGAATGTTAAGAAGGGAACATGCCGGCAACACCGGGCCTCCAGCCGAGGACAAAAAAGACATAATCTGCGCACAGATAATTAGAATTACTGTTATTGAACCGCCATCAGTGAGATAATATACAGGCCACATTCCAGATTAACCGATTTTTTGATTATAAGAAGAAAAGTGAATAACTCAAACCCAAAATAATTGATCTTTTGAGGTGCTTTTGATTTTGACACGAATTTTTGTTTGCAAATATGTTGGAGGGAGTATGAGGCGTCCTGCTTATTGAGGTTACTTTTGTCTGCTCGATTTTAATCTTTGCATTATGCAGGGTATTATATTGCAAACTCCTCACCCTTAATATCTTTCTCGCAGTTGAAGATGTGAAAAATCGGAAAGGCCCGTCAATTTTATTTGCTATTGGGACACTATATGAATATTTTAGCCTCCTTGCTTTGACCCCCTAGGACGGGTAGATGTCAGAATTAGAATAATACATGGGAAGAGGGGTCAAGTGGCACATTCGTTGTAAAGGGAGTTCAATTATCTTTACATCAGTAACTACTTTATTGTTTTTTGTGCAGAGGTTTCCGAGTAATCGCCTTTCACAGTTGTGGAAACAATTAAACTTGCGTGCATCCAGATATTGGTTTTCAGGTTAGCGTTTACACAAAAGCAATTGTATTTGGTATTCTTGTAAAACAAATGATTAGAAGAGTATGTTACACTAGTAAATTTTAAATTTTTTACAAATCGGCTGTTAGAGAATGGATAACATATTTCCAGAATAGAACGGAAATGACATTGTCCTATTCGCTATCTTTCCCGCAGTAACATTAAAATTTATTGTAGCCGGTGGTTTTGCTGTGTCAAATAAGGATGCACAATATTAATATCTGAACGATTTCAGCTTTTTCGATTCAATTTTCTTATCTACACAGCAACTGTATACAACAGAATACGTTTTCTTATTTTTATATCAATTTCAGAATGACAATATTTTTGCACGATTCTTTAGTTTAGTATTCTTTAGATAAATTTCATTCAATTTCAGTTATGATATAAACAGAATGATTCTAATTAAAATCATTAATGATTTTAAATGCTGTTTGGGGTTTACATCTCCAGTCTACGACTCTGCCACCGTCCCAAGCGCCTCTACGAGATCCCACCCCCCATCGCAGCCTAGCGTCTCAATTATACCCGTTGGTGGATTGTGTAGCTGATTTGCAGGGTGTTTGGTCTATATCTTCAGTCCCACTGCAATCTGTTCTGTTGTCTCTACATATGGTTTAGTTTTTTCCAGCAGCCTTAGTTATTAAATTTTAGCCGTGTTCTAGTAATGGTCTGCACATCGCTTTAGATATTGTTGGTGTTGTAACTACTGATGGCCCGTGGTCTTAAATCTAAGAGGGCGCAAGTATTTTTCTCACTTGGGCACTACGGTTATGGTAATATGAGTAATTTGTTATTCCTAAGTGCTGTATATTGTCGATGAATTGAATTATTTAGTATCTAATAATTGTTGGTTGGCAAGTCTGCATTAATTTTTGGATGCATTTGGTGTTAGTCTGCATTTGTAGGACTATGCTATTATTTTGTCTGTTAGAGTCTGGACTCTGTCTATTACTTGACTAATGGTTTTAACGTAAGCGTTAATTTGAATATAGTAACACTTTTGTTAAGCATTTCACAATTTGACTCAACTCCTTTATTTTACTGGACATGATGATAATAATAAGTTTTTTTTTAAATTCTAAGTAATTATTTATGAAATCCTATTAACCTATTTTCCGCGTTCCTTCTTTAAAGTGAATCTTACCACGTAAAAGCTCTTTTTAATTTATCGTTTAAATATCTGTTTCCAGCGGCAATTTTAGAAACCCAAAAATGATTTGAAACAGTTCCTCTTGGTTAGCTTTCTTATTGTTTTTTCAAGATTGAATGATTAATAGCTTCTAATACAATCGACGGCCTCATTTAGTTTTTAGTTAGCTTTCTTTTACACCATAAAAACTTTGTCAGCTTCAAAAAGCTACATTTTAACGTATTTTTTTTATTTATTATTAGTTATTAATTTAATTTGCTACTAGAAATACTTTTTTGAATAACCACATAATTTTTAAGTATTAATTGAAAGTTCTAGAGCAACTCAATCTGTGGAATTGAGATTAATTCTTACGGTACGTGTCTAAATATATCATGTCTTTTGCCTAGCAAATTAATCTACATAGTCACTGTTAGATGCATTAATTTTCAAAGTTTTTTTTTTCAGGTTGCTTGGCTAAGGGTAGATACGCAAACGATTCTCACTATTCACAGTCATGTAATCACGAAGAATCATCGCATTGCGGTCACTCATACGGAACATCGAAATTGGTATTTGCACATTCGAGATATCAAGGAAACTGACATGGGTTGGTACATGTGTCAGATCAACACCGATCCCATGAAAAGCCAAATGGGATTCCTGAATGTCGTCGGTGAGGAAAAAATATATTGCTTTTACAGATAGATGCAAAACTTTTATGATCATTGTACCCTGGGTATTTTTTCCAAGCATTGTTGTCGATATTTTGTTATTGAGAAGCAGGCCTAAAGCGAAACAGCAGTTTGATCTATATAAAGAAATAGCCAGTAAATAAAGACAAAATTTCAAGATTATTATTTGTGCTTTAGAATGCTATTGAACTTAAAACAGGGTTATTTAAATATCTCACATAACATCGAATCCTTTTCATGAACTCTTGTCCAAGAAAACGCTGAAATAACTCGCTGAGAAATAATAACGCTGAAATACTCATCCTTTAATTACAATCCCATCCGCCCTGCAGCAATTATGAAATTACCAGCAAAAAAAATCGCATAGTTTTATATATGAAAATCAGAAAGCTAAACAATTTCAAATAATTTACCACAGTATAAATAAAAAACTGCTTTTAATTCATCAAGTTCAAAAATCGTTTTTTACACTGATTGTTAGTTCTTCTGTGTCATTGCTGATTAAGGCAATGTCGTCCGCGAATCGGAGGTGCTTAGGATACCGGCTGTCCATGCTAATGGTTTTTGTTTCCCAGTTCAGATCCATGAAGATCTTCCATAGCGGGTAAAAAGTTTAGGCGAAATTGTGACTCCTTGTCCCACTCCTCTTTTCATAGGTATTTTATCTGTCATGAGATCTTCTGCAATTTGACCTGGAGGGTAGCATTGTCGTATATATATTTTAAGAGGTTTGGGTACTGCGGTCTATTCTGACTTGATTCATTATATTGAACATATCCCACAGCTCGAGAGAGTCGAAGGCTTTGTCATAGTTTACGAAAGCTCGTTATATTCGTTACAATTTTCTAATTATTGGCGCTCACGGTTTGAATATGTTCTACAGTACTACTGTATCCTTTGCGAAATCCAGCTTGCCCGGGGGTTAGTAGTTGTCACATTTATTCATGGGTCCATTAGTAACGATTTTGGTTTATATGTTGAGTAAACTTTTTAAGGATGTTTTAGTAAATTTAGAGATCGATAGTTGTTGATTTTCAATTTGTCTCTTTTTTGCATAATAGGACAACAGCGGAGTTTTTCCAAGTTTCGGGCACATTGACTTCAGAGAGAGATTTATTTAGCTACATTTTGGTTCATTATAGTGGGGCTACACCTCCTAGAATTATCATCTCTGTAGTGATTCCGATCGCACCGGATGCCCGTCCGTTCTTGAGTTGGAATAGGGCGTGTTTTATTTCGTATGTGGTTATATCCGCAATTTATCATTATGTTGATATTATCATAATATCTGTTTTGTGGTTGTAGATTGTTGGAGGAGTATAGTTTACCGTAAAAATATTGGAAGATTTAAGAAATCTCAGTCTTCTCTTCTTCCAGATTGCCGTCTGTGTTCATCAGTTTATGTATCCTGATTTTCTTTTTTGTCTTGTCGTTTCTTAAGCATTTAATGTTCTTGTTGTTTTCAATCGTTGACCGTTTAAGTTTTGCGTTATAGCTGCTTATGTTGTCCCTAATCTCTTTACTGATGTTTTTGATCCGCCCCGGATAATTTATTGATTTTTGATTGTTAGTAGTGATTACTAAGTATGGGGCTTTCTTAAATGCAGTGGATTGAAGAATGCTATGCGAAAATAGAAAACGTAATATGGGCCTGCAATGAATGAACATTTCTTAAATAATAAGCGAGATCTTAGATATAGTAATGATACTAGTAAGCGTTTCCTATTGATATTCTTAAAAAACTTAAGTTATCATACCATCGTGCGCTGTTTACGAATTTCATGCGATTAGCTAAGATTGAAGCTTTGATAAAGAATGACGCAGCAGAATGTACATAATATTATCATCTCTAATGCAGCTAAATGTTATTTAATTGTCTATTATACAGTCATCATTAGCTATTTGACCCACTGACAATCCACATATTACACACGTCGGACAAACATAAAGTGTAGCCAAAGTCACTGTGTTGGCAATTAATAACAGAATTTTGGACCATATTTCCTTGACAAACATCTCACTACTCATCGGTGAACTTCGATTTGTTCTCATTTTTGCTCTTAACTCAGAACTGATTTAGCAGCAAATTTTCCGACCGAAAATAATCAGGAATATCAACTCCATCAAAAGTGTAGTATCAGAAGGATGATGTTATGCCACATTCTACATAATTCCGAAATCTGTGTGGGTATCGAATATAGCATAAGAATTGAAATAAATAAAATTCTTGTCGAAAATGTTGGTAGTGCACTAGATATATGTTCATAGGTCAGGTGGAAGGTAAGGAAAATTTCCAAAATTTACTGTATTCTTGTCCTTCCTCTTGCAATTGGGATACCCCTTGTGTATATCTGTTTGGCGGTCTACCAGGTGGTCGGGACGTTTTGAGATTTGTGCACGTGCATATCTTGCTTTTCGGTCCAGGTTAGTGTTCGCGAGATGTTTCTCACAGTATCGGTTTCGTGCTCCCACCTACCTTACTATGTCCTGCACCTCAAGTTTCTCTCTTATAATAGGGTGCCACATTCTGCCTTCCAGAATTACTCCTCGTATTACTCTTGGTGCTTTCACTTCCGTTGTTCTGTGTATTGATTTTGTATTTAATGTTTCTGCTGATGTTTCTCGGGAGTAGGGTACTATGGTTCTGACGCATCTTTAGTAGATGAAAACTTTGCTTTGCATTGACATGAATTTCCTTCTCCTTATCACATCTCTTAGGCACACGGGTGTTCGCGCCGCCTTGTTTCTTTGTGCACTTGCTTCTTCTGGTAGTTTTCTATCCTTTAATATTTAAATTGTGATACTTCCTCGATAGTTCGGTTTGTTTGCCACCAGCTCACATGGTATCAGTTCTATCGCGGTCACAATTGACTGCGTTTTTCCTATTAATATCTGGATATTGAGATTATTCGCTGTTATTTCTAACTTGTGCAGGAGTTGCTGTAGATCGTCCTCGCTGCCCTGCCATCAATACTAAATACTAAGTCGTCCGCATACCACAGGATTTCCACGGTTCACTGACCTATTCTGTATCCGATATTTAGTAGTTCTATGTTATTTATTATCTGGTCAATAATAATAGGCTGTTTCCCTGTCTGATTCCGATATTAATTCTTACGTTCTCACAGAGACCGTCCTCTGTTTTGATTCTGAATTGTATGTTACTAATCTTCAATATCCTTCTTTTATGTTGTTGTCCCTCAGGGCAGTTTTTACATCAGTCAGACGGACTTTATCGAATGCCCCCTTTACATCGACAAAGCGTACGAATAGGGATTTCTTAAACTCTATAGATTTTTCCACCAATTAGCGTGGTATGAAAACCACATCTATTGTCCTTGTTGCTCTTTGCTTATACTGAATCGGTCGCTAATTTCTGCGTCAGTATTTTGGATAGCTGTTTAGCCATTGAGTTCAACCGCGTTATGTCCTCATGAACTAAAAAATAAACAATATTATAATACATATTGAGTACAATATTACACCTGCCTCGGTTAACAAGCTCTGGCCATTGTTATATGGTGGAAATGCACTAAATAATTGATGAAGGCTTAAATACAGCCGAAACATTGGCCCAAAGAAAATAGTCGTTTTTTTGCCACTATCTATTGACCGATCAATCTAATATTAAGAAAGCAACACCTATCACTAATTACTTTCACGGTCAGCAAGAAACTTCAACAAGGATTCATAGTCTCTTAAAGCATATATAAGCTTAAAGGTACATATCACCTGTAAAATTTCCTTCAATTAATAAAGAAATAATAATGGCATTTGCAAAAATACCAACCCATAACATCTACTTACTGTGGATATTTCTGTTTGTTGACATTAACTATTTGGAAAAAACGAACTTTTATCGCTTAAACTGATATTTGGACTAGTGAGTTCGAAAACAGACTTTATTATTGTTTATAGGAGAATGAACAACAGTTTGAACAACTTATAAGATAGGACGTAGATCCCATAGACTAAATAGCTATCGAAACGTCAAGGTAATTTTCCAAATTAATTTCTTTACTAATTAGAATTTTCTCTTACAGCTTGAGCCTAAGTGTGTAGCAGGATACCCGCTAGGTGATAGTTCTTGATTACTTTTTGATAAATAATTCGTTCTTATTGCGAAATAAGAGCACTATTTATCAATCTGTAATAAA